TATCTGTTTTTTATATATATAGCTTCTTTGGGTACTTATAATGTAAAATAATGAAAAAAATTTCTCGAACTCAAATTTTGTGAACCAGGGGGGTGTGTCTTTTCCAACAAACTAAAAATGGCTCGCGCACAAAATTTAAAAGTTGTAATCATATTTTGAGTTAATAGATTGAAAATTTGTCGGGTTTTTAATTACTGTACAAAATTTCAGACAATTTGGTTTAGTTTAAGCCCTTTAACTATTCATTTTGTTCTAAAAGGTCAGCCTTTCGCATGCTTAATTAATGCCTTTACCTAATTTGCATATTGCTGACATATGCAAATTAGGCAAATGCATTAATTAAGCATGCAAATAGCTGATTTTTCGGGAAAATTGTAACTTTGCGTGAATAGTTAAGGGCTTAAACTAAACCAAATTGTCTGCTTTATTCCGTACTTAATCAAATAAAATGAAAGCACTACAATAGCTGCAAAACTGTTACACCTTTTAATGCCGAGCCAGATATTTTGTTTTTTCTTCCACCCCCCTATTTGGAAGGCATACAACAACACGTTGTTTTTCATATTTTGCAGGATTAATAAGAGTCGCATAATAATGTATGTAAAGCATACTATTATTTGGTTCACAAAATAAATGATTCAGTTTTTTTTTGATACACCCTGTATAAATTATGATTATATTTTTCTGCCGATATGACCAGGCATAATTTTCAATTGCTGGAAAATATATTAGATTATTTGCTACACTAAAAATAATCGGATTTATCCATTTTCTGACTAGCAGGCTACAATAGTTGTCCGAAACTATACAAATCTGCTTACATGGCAGTGTCATATTAGTCATTGCAGTAAAGGTGAATTGACATCCAGTGCCAATCCCATACAGTTGTAGAACTTGCACAGAGTACTGTAATAACTGTATATACAACACTGTAGCTGCTACCGCGCCATGTACTCGTGTAATTGCCGAAACTCATCATGTTCCCGGCCAGTGCGCTTATGAAAGGCGCTCGCCCCCTGAATGCCTAAGCAGGGCGTTCAGAATTATTGTGAGTAGGTGGCAGGACTTAAAAAATAGGCGTACGGACGTACGATTGTACGCTGAAATTAGCTTGGCCAAGAATTATGCTTGGCGTATGCCAAGAATTTCAGGCAAGTACGAACGCGTACACTTCCTACCGTCACCCCTTTCTGTTTGCCTTCAGACAATGAACAAACGTTCGCCTCTGCATGACCCTGATATTTATAACAATCAAACATGAAACATTGATCCAGAAACATCGAGTTCGCTGCTCGAATCTCGGACCGCCATCATTGTTACGTCGTTTAAATCCAGCATTTCTTCTATACGGGAATTTTATAGAAAAACTAGAATACAAAATCGTACGTCAAAATCGACTAAACGTACGTCAACTTAGCAGAGAGCGTACGGCCTCGTACGACATTTCTAATCTACTTTTTAATCCTTGGGTGGCTGCGTTGATAAAGTAGGCAGCTTTGGGGAATGGTTCAAAGGAGGCCCAGAAGCTATGGCAATTTATTCAAATCTCCTTCGATCAAAGTTTCTGAAATTTTTTAGGTGTAAACTTTAAGGGACTATCTAATGGAAGATATAAAAAATTAGGGATCGACAATGGGGAAGCTCTGCAGCTTGATGGGTTAACCAAAAAATCTGACAATATCTCTGGTTAACCCATTGAGCCGCAAAGGCCAGCAATGCGGCCTTCTTATTTTTTACTTGTGTAATGTCAGACAATTTTACTCGTCAATAGGCAAGCTCTGCAGCTTAATGGGTTAATTATATACATGTTTAATTCAGTATTTATAGTGTACTGGTACTTTTATTTGTGCTTTATATACATGTACTGGTACAAATATACGGGGTCCAAATTTGCGATTTTGAGTATTGCATAAAATTGCAAAGCAATTTTTCTAAAAGTTGTGAATTAATGCTTAAATGCTTGATATCCAGCTTTTTTCCATTTTACTGAAATCTGAAATGTCTCAGACATTCGTGTGAAGCATCTCACTTTTGAGTTCACTTCTACGCTCGATCGTGCTTCAGACTTTTAGTGTAGTGGCGTGTTAGGTTGACATCACGCCTGTCAACTCGCGAGTTGAAAAATAGCATTTCAAGTTCAACGGTGAGCGTTTTAAAGAAACTGTAGAAATCATAGAACTTTAAACGATGTACAGTATACTGCCATGTAACAAGGGTAATAGATCTGTAGAATTCGTAATCACGAGGGCACGTGCCCAATTGTAAATTATCCCTAAGGAGGGGGGGATTTGGGGAGTATTCAATACTGTAATACCACAAGCAAATTTTGTCAATAACCACAGTTTTTGAATCCAAAATTGAAAATACCGTGTACTGCAAGATTTCCAATATCGTAATACCGCAATTTTTCAAGGAAAATACGAAATACCGTAAGAAAAATAAGCTAATACCGCCATACCGTAAATCCCAATGTCCCACCCAAAACATTTGGGCTTCGGACCTATCTGACTGGAACATTTAGGTAACATTAGAATGAGGTCCATTTTCGCTAGATATTTGAGAAACATAGACCAGATCTTTTCATTGATACAGAGAAAAGAATTTGGGTCTTACCGGCCAGGCCATTAAATGGAAAGTGCCCTAGTGTTCGTAAAAATTCCAAACGTTCCTTGCGTGCAAGCTATTCACATGACAAGGCACTGCAAACTCTATTCAGGGAAGATAATAAAGTTTCAAAACAATAAACCAGTGAATGCAAGCGAGGAGCAATTAGTTTCATTCTTTTAGGAAATAGACTTGCCTAGATTTAATCTTTACGCCCCAAATATTATTTACATCGGAGTTGCATCATAAATTGTATTCGGATTCAAACAACACAATGTCAATGACTTTATAAAAGTAAAAGCATATTGTAGGTTCATTTAACTTTAAGTCTTTAACTCTCTCAAGTCTCAACAGACAATCGGACATATGCCAAATCCATTGATATGACAAATTGACAACTTCAAAAACTTTTTTTTGAAGCTAGAAATCATGATTTTTATCAAATTTTTCCTGGGATACTTTGTTTCTTGCTCTCTAGACTCCCCCTCGCGGCTCTAGTGCTCCACCCCTAGAATATAGACCTTACTGGGGTTTGGTGACACTTTGTGTTGCTTCAGTCACCTGCTGATCACGGCTCACCCCCCTAAAATTTCTGGCACCACCCCAGTAATAAATATGAAAATCCATCTATGCAATAAGCTGTTGCGGTGACCCGGCCACACTGTTTTGTTACATAATCAGTTTGATCATCTGATTATCAATTTCCCGTTTGTAATGTGAAATGACTGAAAAACGGCAAACTTCGCAAGGCTATATTATCCGCATTTTACAACATTTCGCAACGAAACTTCGGAATATTGCTAATTTTGTGATGCTCTTTCAAGCTGTGATGAAATTTTTGTCCAGACTTGTCTAGATCAAAATTTCACTTAAAATGGGAAAGGTCTATTGGTTTGGAAGCTTAGGCTGCATCCAGACTGGGTGCCCGGCACTGGTGCCCGGCACTTGTTTTGGCTCCCAGTTTGAACACAACGCTTTCAAATGAAATTGGGCACAGTGCCCAAGAACGGGCACTACCTCTAGAGGTAGTACTCAACAACGGCACTGTGCTCAACATGTTTTGTGAACCATTTTGAACATTGGGCACCAGTGCCGGGCACTCAGTCTGAACGAGCCCTTAGAGAGTTAGAGTAGAGGAAGGAATCTTCATTCTGGTCTCTGGAATCCACCAGAGCTCCGGTGGTTGCTGGCTTATTTTGAAGGCCCTAAGCCAAGCCAGATCAGTCTAATTAGATCCCAATCTAATTTAAACAATCCAAGACTCCCTTCAGAGGAAATATCCACCATTAATATACTGTGTGTCTGTACGTCTAATTTTATTTTTATAAACATTAAAATGATATTAAATACCAATTTACCATTATTTAAAATTATTTAAACTTACCTAAGAAATCATTAACAACCCAATTTGTTGTAAACAACGATACAATGGCAAACAAGTTTGCAAAGCCACACATTAATCCTCCTGCTACCGCGAACTTATTTGCACGATAAGGCATGATTTAAATCTCAAACTGTGATAATACACGATGCTGAACTCAGCTTAGCAACGGCAGAAAACAACACGTTTCGATGTATATTCTGTCATTCTGTGTCACCCAGCTTCTTTGCAACACTAAACACGATATAAACAAGAAGTTTTACCAATGAAACATTGTTAAATTTCTTTGAAACTGATAAAGTTTATGAACAAATTGCGCCTCAAATATTTACAGTAATATTCGTCGTGTTTTCAACTTTTTGTCGTTCTTGTGTTTCCACTTACAAAAACAACATTTCTCGGTTTTCGCAAATTTTCGCAACCATCACCACAGATGAGGTAAGTATTACCTCATCTGTGCCATCACGCTGGTCCAGGGCACTGCGGTCCAGGGCACTGCGGTCCAGGGCCGTGCCAACGGGTTTCTGGTTGGGGGGTAGTGTACTCCAAAATTTGGGCCCCCTTCCATTCCAGGGACCCCCATTTTTCCGGATAATGTTGGCGAGGGGGGAGGTAGACGTTATTTTTCCAGAAATTTCCAAAATTTTCTGGGAACAAGTCCTTTTGCAATTCCAGCATGCCAGGGCCCCCTCCCCGCAGTTGGGGCCCCCTTTTTTGGGGGTGGGGGTGGTGTTATTCAAGGGTGTTACAACCCTCCCCCCCCCCAGGTGGCACGGCCCTGCGCTGGTCACACTCTGATGGTCAGTGATTGGTCACGTATCACAGATCTTACAATAGACAACTTGCATCTAACATTTTTGATCTAGGCAAAAAAGGTAAATTGAACTTATTAAAATTAGTAAAATCGCAAAATTTGGTTACGAAATGTTGTAAAATACGGAAAATATAGCCTTGCAAGTTTGCATATTTTGTTTATGTTTGTAATACGTGCGAAAATTGTTACCATTTTTGAGCCGAAAATGGTCAATTTCATTTTCTAAGTCAACGAGCCATTTTAATGGCATTAAGAATCAAGGACTATCATAATTTCTTCGGTATTATTGGCCCATTATTTGCGGTTGATAGTTGATGATCATAGTTAGTGGGCTGGCTTCCCAGGTTGAGTTGCCCGCAGCCGGAGGGTACGCCTGAGCCAGCGTCTTGGTATATTACAGTTGATAGTTGCTGATCATGATTGTAGTTATTGGTTGTATTTATATGATCCAGACTCCTGTATCCCTATCTACTTCTCGATCTACTACACTAATCACCGTACCACGAAGAACCAAGACGGGATATAATTTCATGTCTCGCTGTTTTGTCAGGGTCAGAATTAGGGTCAGTATTCATATTAACATCGACTGAGCGACACACGGGAAAACACGTTGAGCAACCAGGCCAGGACGTCCAACTCAGTATGCGCAAGATAATGTGCAAACGGGAAAAATTGTCAAGTACGCCTTCGTTTTCATTGTCTTGCTCAAACTCTCTACTTTCAAAGCAGAGTAACGCTCGACTTGAATGTTGGATATTTGTGTAATTGATCTTTACAATACCATGATCGTCGGCAAGAATCTTCACGAACTTTTCAGTTAGACATGTGTTTCAGAGAAATATATCTGCCCGTTTACACTACGCTCAATTTTTGGTACGGCACGGATAAAATTGGGTACCCGACTACCCGTACCACTTTTTTATACTATATAGGTAGTCCAAGAACCAAATACGTGGTACGGTACCAAAAATTCAGCGTAGGGTAAACGCCAAAAACGGGGCTTCAACGAACTAATTTTGGAAAATCGATGGAAATGCACTTTCCGGCTTGTAATTTT